CTTCCCTTGCTAGCACCGCCGCCGCTTGCCTGGGCCTTGATCGCGCCTATGATCTGGCCTCTCATTCCGCGTTCCTTGCTGCCATCACTGCTCACAACCAGGCTGTCCTGCCGCCTGACCACTTGCGTGTCCCAGTGCCGCCTTCTACCCGACAGCGCGAGCTGTCCCAGGCTCTCGACCGTGCAGTGGTCTCTCAGCTGCTTGCGCCTGCACCGGGCCGTGAAGCCGCCCGTGCCCACCTCCGCCTCCTGGCCCTGCCGGGGGCTGGAGCCTGGCTCCACGCCCCGCCTAACGAGGCTCTTGGGCTCCATGTCGCGCCGCGCTTGTTCCGCATCATGACGCAACTTCGTCTCCGTCTGCCAATCATGCCCACTCTGCGATGGTGTGGCTGATAAGTTCGGTGACCATTCTCGCTGCTGCCCATGGGGGCGGACCGGGTAAAGCGCCACAACAGTCTTTGCTCGATTCTTGCTGCGCGTGCACAGGCTGCAGAGCTTGGTGTCGAGGTTGAGAAGCCCGGCCTGCTGCCCTTACGACCTGACGAGGATGTAGGTGACGTGGCGTCCCGCAGACGTGTGGGTTGTGCAGTGGGGCCTCCACGGCCCTGCCGCCTTCGACCTTGCTGTGACCTCTGGCCTGCGCAGGGGCGGCATCCTTGCCGACACCGCCGTCGAAACCTATGAAGCACACAAGCGCGCCCATCTGCAGACCGAGCGTCATTGTGTTGCAGAGGGCCTGCAATTCTTGCCTCTCATCGCCGAAGCATGCAGTGGAGGGTGGGGCCCCACTGCTGCTGCCACCTGGCGGACGCTGGGTGGCCTCATTGCCGCCCGCAGTCGCAGTGGCGACACCCCGTCCGCAGAGACGGACCGTCTTTTGCAGAGCCTTGCCATCGCACTTCAGCGCGAAAATGCTCGCGCTGTCCTCCGGCGGCTAGGCCAGGGGCCTGATGCTGCCCTCCCCTTTGCAGAGCCTTGAGAGCATGTGGCTCTCCTCAGCTTCCTCTTGCCCGCCAGCACTGCCATCACTGCCTGCCGCTTTTCGTGCGCAGCGTTACGGCCCCTTGCTTTGCACGCACGCATAGAATGGTGCTGGACGCAGGCCAACTATGCTGGGTGGCGGAGTTCTCCTGCTTACGGCCCATGCGTGTAGGGTGCGTGACGGGGTTGATGAACCTGCGTCACTTTGAGGGTGGCGGACGCGGTAGTTGTGTAGGCCCGTAAGTCTTAGTCCTAGCCGTGCTAGCCTCAGCCAATGTGCTGAAGCCCTCCAAGTGCTTTGTTGTTTAGGAATTGGGGTTATTGACCCGTTTGGGCGCTCTGAAGGCCCCCCTGGAGGCCCTGGCGGGCCCTGGAGGGCTTTGAGAGGCCCTGGAGTGGCAAGGGAGGGGAGTGAAAGGGAATTAGGAGGGCTTCGGCGGGAACAGAACCTGATTTCGGATATTTTCGTGGTTTCTGTATGTTTCGTAATTGTTTGCCGTAGTTTCTCGTATTTATCATAGTTTTTTCTTCGTATTTTTCATTGCTTTTCATATTCTATCGTATTTTTGCCCACCCCATCAACCTCTCCCGCTGCCCTGGCTCCCCTCCCTCCAGCACCCCTCCCCTCCATCTCCCTTGCTCCGCCGCTGCCCCCTTGTGGCTCTATCTCTTTTGGACCCTTGAAAAGTACGCCGGAGTGTTTCTGGAAAGCCTAGACAATCCTCCATGGACATCCAGGTCACCCATGATTCTTCAAATCTTTGTTTGTGGCATTGGCTGATTCTTGGAAGATGATGCCAATGATTCCCCAAGGGCTAATATGAGATACATGCTGTCCGCTTTAAATTGTTTTCCTGTTAACTTTGCTGCACACATGTCTCAAAGAGGACCTGCAGATGAAACATTAACAGCTTTCCAGCCATAAGTGTTCAGCATATTGGGCCAATTGAGGATCTCTATTTCCGGGATCATATTCAAATCATGTTTACTTTATAAATTATTGGGCTACGATGGCTGCGTTCCTGATGTCTACGTGTTAAGCCTATCTTCCCTGCATCTTTGCTAATTTTGTGGCCTGATAGCAAGATGATTTATGGCTTGGTTGCTGCTGGTCTTCTAGTCGCATGTTGTATGAAGCTGATTCCAGAATAAGAGCTGTCAGAGGACAGTTTGTTCTCTCCACCCTAGCAGCTCTAGCAGTGGCTCTCATTCATTGCATGCTCACCCCATGGCCAGAAAATGCATGGGCTTCAGCTTTTGCCTGGCCTTGAACAGAATCATGCCTGCCTTGATTCCGGTATGCCGCAAAAAAGCAAAGCGACCGTTTGCCCGAAGCGCCGCCGGCAGATCTTGGATTCTTGCAGATGCGCGTGCCAGTCCTCCGGCCGTAGCATGGTGTCCCGTGAACCCCAAACTCGAGGTTTCCATTTCGTGTGGCACCATGATGTACTGCCTTGATGTAGTAGGCAGGTGCTGGCAGGGAGGTGGACCGAGTTCTGATGCTTGTGGGATACTGCCCTCAGGAGTCGCTAAAGTTAGATTGCAAGTGCTGAGCTGAAACCCGGGCTGAAGACACATTCTGCAGCCATTCCATTGACTTGGATACAATCCGGGATAAAATCCGTAGGTGCAGCTTCCGTCCTTCAAGCTGGTTTGTTGTGCACGGGTGCATCACTTGAATGAAGCTGAGGAACGGGGTGCCAGTTGTCGTGTCGGAGCCCCTTGGTCAGCAGAGTTCAGCCTCAAAGCTGTTGCAGCTGAGGCGAGGATCTCTTAGCACAACGAGTCCGTGGTTTGTCTAGTTGTATTCCACGTTGTCTTGGTAAAAGTTGTCTTCAGGGATCCCTGAGTGTCAGAAGCACGCCGAAGTTGCGAATTATTGTGTTCCTCAGGGTGGTGAACCTCTGCATCCACGACCAGATACACGGTGAAACGCTGTGTCAGTACAAACAGGCTGGAGCAAGCACCATCTCGACATGCTTTGAGTCCTGCCAGTTTTATCATTGTCTCAAGGCCAGATCTGCAATCTCCATGCAACTAGCAGGGTAGCAGAATGTACAGTGATAAGGGATCCCATGCCCTGCTGGTGCCGTTTGCATAGGTGGGAGCTTACCTCTATGTTCGGTCTGGAACATGGCCACGAGCCCTACCATTTCGGACACTCTGCCCAGATCCAGACCCCTCCGCTCCATACCCTTGTTATTAGATTGTCTTCTGAATTTCGTTCCGGTCCCCGTTGCATACCCATGTCAGACCCCAGGCATTGATCCGACAGCTCCATGTTAGGGTCATACACATGTGCGTTCCAGACCCTATGTATGGATCAAGGACGCAGGGTCCGGATCAAGATTAAAGACGCGGGATCCCAAAGGCTACCTCTTGTAGACGAAGAGCATGTACGTGTCTGCATGTGCTGCGTGCGGCAGCTCGGCCCCGGCGACTATTCCTACGAGCACCTGACACTGCCGCGTACAGCACGAAGACCCGATGCCCCTTGCTCGGATTTGGATTATGGTTGGTCTTGGTTCCCGGAGCACTTAGACGAAACTTCTTACACCAGAAGAGCAGTGTAGAACCATGTGCTGGAAAACGCGCATCATGCCCATCCAAGGAAAATGAATTTCTGGTGGCGAAGCGCATCTTGAAGATTCTTGTCCTGCTTTTCACTAGAGACAGCAAGAGCGCCCTTCTTGGCAGAAAATGCTCAGGAGACGCCTCCGCATCAACCCAAACACAGTAGTCCTGGAGACAAAGGCTTGCTGTCTGAGCCTTTGTGTTGAGCGGGGCTTTGGATTTGGCATTCGCACGTAAGCCTTTGCCGGTCGGAGCAGGTTCGACGATTGCAGGAGGAGCGCTCCACAATGGCTTACCCTGGCCTGATCTTTGCAAGGTCCCGAGAGTGTCGCAACAGAGCAACCGCAGGTACAGATGATCTGCCCAGCAGTTCCAAAGTGGCATGCCAGAATAGGATGCGTGAGATGGCGGCTTATGGTAAATCATGGCTGAGCATTGAGCTCTTACCGCTGCTGCTTGCCAAGGTTGAGCGTGAACTCGTGATCACTGCCAATTTGGACCCTCGTGTTCCCCAGAGCCGCATGTCGACCAAAGTCAAGTTGTTGAGAGAGGACTAGGCTCCCTGCAACCGAGTCGGCATTTGCAAGCACGCAAGCGGCAACTGGCGTAGCTGGGACTCTTCAGCCGGTGCTGATCGCGCCTTCGGTGCTACTTACTTATTTGGTTGGATGTGTGAGCCCCTTTTGGCAGGGTACCTTACTATGAGCACTTGTTCAATTCCAGCTGCGTCCAGCCAAGTTAACGTTGGCACTCCAGCCCACACTGCTGCTAAAGCAGTTGTGGAGCTGGTGGTAATTTTTTAGACGGTCTTGGCAAGGGGTGCGATCCAAGCGGTTTGGAAGGATCGCGTCTTGCAGCGATTTCGTGTCATCTTGAACGCTCAGATCATCGTATAGACCTTTGAAGCAGGACACGAGACTCAAAATGCATGGGCACGGAATGGCTGGCCATGGAACTTGATGCAGCTTCGCTGAACAGCTCACTCGCAACGTTGCGGTGGTTATCATGCGTTGACATTTTCTGCGGGCATCGTAGGTCTACTTTAAGAGGCTGCAATGGTTGGTAGAAGCAGTCTGATGCTTGCAGGCTGCTGCTGTGTTAGCTCAGCAAACTTCGCGCTCCGGTGAGAGGCATGCAAAATGGCTTTCGGTCCGCCAGCTGCTGTTGGAATCCAACAACAGACTTAGGTCCTGCAATCACCTCGGACCTTGCGCACATGGTGCTGCCAGAGTTACTTACGCACGCGTGCAAGTGGGTGATTTGAAGCGCACCTCCCCATCGAGCAAGTGCTGACTACCGCTCAGCCCCCAAGCAGACTCCGGGGAGAGATGGGGAGAGGCGGCTCTGGGTGCGGGCATCAAGGCGTGGCAAACTCCAACACCAACAGCTGCACAACAAACTCACCTCCGGCTTTGTATCGTCGATCTGGATTGCTCAGCTGGGGAGAGGCAAAGAGGCTGGGATAGCGGCAGCATTGGACGGAGGGAAGAATAGCAAGTCTTTGGAGTGTTCTTGCAGGCCATGGAACTGTTGGTTTGACTGAGTAGGCGCATGTCTTACGCAGACCGGCGCCACAACCAGTTTCCAAGAGAAAGCTACTCAAATTGCGAATACCTTCCCTGCCCATGCGTGGTCGAGCTGAAGCTTTGCAAGCCAAACCACCACATGGAGCCTTGGACATGGAAACATGACGCCACACCCTAGTGTGAAGATAAAAGACGGCTAGGCAAGTTGGCGTGACACCCTCTCACTCAACATCGAGCCTGAATGCCCCGGGTCTTGCTCGGGCTAGCTGGCCTAGTACCGTGCCGTCCTGCCTGCTGCTACGTAAGTTGTACAACGGCATTGGCAGCTTGCAAGTAATCATTGGAGTTCGGCTTAGCCATGGCAGAGGAGGGCGGCACCAGCAATGCATTGCCTGGCTCCAAGCTCACGGCTTCAATCCCAAAGTCCTTGATCTTAGGATGGCCACTAGATTCTGAAACCAGGCTCGGGCGAAAAAAGGGTCCCCATGAAAAGGGAAGGCTTCACTTCCCCTCTGCTTGTCTTCGTAAAGCCCTGGCACAGCCGCCTGCATCTCATTTGGGTCGTGATATATTGTGATGGAGCAGTAGGGATTTTCCTTCATAATATATCGTAACAGCCCCAACAGCTCGTACATGGGCCTTGCCATGTCAAGGTCATTCCAAGTCCCCACATCTTGGGCATGTTAGTAAACTTATGGGCTTCCTTTCGTTCAAGGCCCCGAGAGAGAGGATGTTCTGGTCTGGGGAGCTGGAGTCTACTGCTTTCAGCATTGCTGTTCACCGGCGCTACCAACTCCGAGGCTTGGCTCGCTGAACGCAGCGCTTCGGTCTCTGCCCGAACCACCGCCAGCAGCTGAGCGTCTTGCGTTGGAGGCCGCAGGTGTTGGATTGGTGCACACGTTGCTTCGAGCTGTAGGCAAGTCTGAAGTCAGAAGCAAGTCCTGCTCTTGCAGCAAAGAACCCGCCCTGAATGATTCTTGAGTTGGCTTTGTCGTTCACGTCCTTATGTTCCATTTGTCACCTCCTTGCCCTCCGCAAGCCGATCCAGATTCCTGCTCGAAGTTGTGCCACATAGCTGACAGCATATGATGATGTTGAATCTTGCATGTGTTCCTGTCCAAGAGCTAGGGCATGTGATCCTGGTTTTGAATGGTTTTGAAGCTCAGGGCACCGTCTCCTGTGATGGAAAGTAGGCTTTGGGCAAGAAGCTACAGTGTCGATTGCTGCGAGAAATGCATGAACTGCCCTCAAATCATTGAAAAAGCTCAAGTTCGTGTTCATTTCTCCCCTACGGCAATCTTGTTCGTGGCCCCAAGTCATACTGCTTTCTTTCCACTGCACCCGGAGGTGGCTGGCGAGAGCTTCGTGCTTAGCCGCTCAGCTGGTGGTTGCCAAGTTATACGCCGCTGGTTTGCAAACAGGTGGCAGGAAACAAAAGCTCATCAGGGCTACCTTAGCTTGTCAAATATGGTGCTGGGTCAAACGGCATTTAATTAGAATAGTGACCTTGTGATTCCTTACTCTGAGATCTCAAAGCAAGGGGTGTGTCAAGGAGACAAGCTCCCAAGGTCAGCCAGCCGGGCAGCAGCGAGAATGTGTTGTCGCAGTGCGTTCTGCTGCAGCTCCTTGGCGACTGTATTCACTGGGTTTGTTGACTGCCAAAATATGCCTGTTCAAGAACCCGTGCGCTTAAGAAACATGGAAAAAACCTGCTAGATTCTGCCAGCCAGTGCTCTTGGCTCGCAGTGCAACTAGGAGGATGTGCGCATCGCCTGCACATCAGGTTCTCATGGATCATATGGCAACCCTGGCATACATGGACTCTCTTGAAGTTAGAGTTTCGGTCAAGCGTTGGGCCACAACAAAGCTCGAGCTGCGTGGTGTTCATGAGAAGGCTTCAGCACCATATACTTGGTGTTTCATGGCATTTCACGCTGCTAAGATCCGCTGCCAGGATCTTTGGGCACTTGCCAGTGGCAACTCCAGCCCGCAAGCAGCATTCGCACAAGGAAAGATCTCTGTGCGAGGCACCTGTCGCAGAGAAAACATGGCTAGCAAAGATCGACACACAAGACGATTTGCTGCCTTGGGCTCTTTCAGGTGGCTTTTCTGCTTTGCTGGAATTGCGCCCTTTCATCGCAGAGCTTCGCTCAAAGCTTCCAGCGACCTGGCATAAGTTTCAATCCGTTTCGTGTGTCACACGGGCTTATGATTTCCGCGATCGAGTTCGAAGCTCAGGCATCTGACTTGCTGCCAGGATGCTCGGCAGAAGGGCACAAGCCGTATCTACAGGTAAGACGTGGCTTCCAGGCGCTCATGATCTCTCATACGAACTCCTAAGGCTTGGCATGCTCCATTGCACATAGAAGATAGTTGATTGACAAGCCAACAAGCACTAATTTGCCATCCATTTCCTGAACTGGTGGGCGTTGCAGACCGGCTCTGATGAAAAGTTGCCCGGGCTATGTGCGCAGGGGACAAGATTTTAAACCCATGGGCCCAGGTGGCACATGGCTTCCAGATTCCGCTGCAAATGCATGCATGGCGTGTGACGCAGCGTTCACGCTCTTCCGGTCGGGCACGCAGAAGATGCAAGCGACACAACGCATCTGCATTTGGAGGCAAAGGTTGTTTGAGTGTAGGGCACAACACTGACCAGGCGGCGTCACCATTGTCGCAGCTGTGGGAAGCTTTTCTGCGATCGCTGCAGCCCATGGCGTGCAGGCCCAAGGCTCTTGAAAAAACTACAGGCTCAAACCAGGCATCCCGCTTTACGGTGTGATGTGTGCGGTGGGCAGAAGCAAACAGAGAACTTGCAAGGCAGTGCTTGGATGTTGGAGATGTGACATATGTGACACGAAGCAGTGTCGTGAGATAATATGTTACATTGGGGAAGACACATCATGCAGCATTGGCAGGGATAGTTGCTAACAGGCTGAGGTCTCGGTACCCAAGGTTCACAGGCGGACCAGTCTATTGTTCTGAGATTGTGCCCCTTTTTCGCAGGCCCCGCTGCGCGCCAGTGTGACGAGTGTTTCCGTGCCAAGACAGAAATTTCCGCCGGTGCAAAACAGAAGGACCAGGCCCAAGCATTACTGCGCCTTTGATGTGAATGCCGACAGCCATAAATAGGCTTTGAGAAGTGGGGTGTTCAATCTTAGGTCAAACATTCCTATACTACAGCAGGGATTGATCTGTACCACGGGCCCTTTTCCTGGAAGACGCAGGGACTCGTCGCAGAGCAGATGCGACTTCTGGAAGTGCGACTGGAGGACTTGCTAATGTGGGGCTGAAAAGACAATGGATGTTGCTAGCACAAGGGAAAAGTTTCCGTCTGCGTATTCTTCAGCCTTTTGCGGGCCCTTTAAACCTTTCGTGCCCACCAACAGTAGCCTCGTGCAGCTGCAGAGGGTGTGCGTATGCAACTGTAATTTTTGAATATGTGACCAGCTTTGCATAAGGCAGGGTACTTCAAGTCCAAGAAATAAATGCCGCATAAACAGCAGGCACATGGCCAGAAGCAATCGCAGGAGGTGGAAAGTGCTGCCGCTGCAAGAGAGGCGGAGGACTTCTTAGGTGCGGCGAACGCTGCTCGGATGTCAACACCCCAAGGATGTAGACTGTCTTATCCAGTGTTTGCATGTCCTTCTTCTGGGCCTTTCATAGCCATCCACAAACTGTTGGCAAAATTGCAAGAACGGATTTTATGTTTCAACACCTTGTCTAAACTATGGCCTCGCGAATCTGGCTCTAAAATTGCTGCGGCGCAGCAACTTCACCAGCATAGCGATTCCCACGTCTCCTTTAAACATGTAAATTACGATGCATACATAGATAAATATGCAGAGATATATAGAGGCTTGTATGCAAACTGCAGGCCTTCCTGGGCCTCCTAGCCGCTGGCTTCGTACTGGCCTTGGTGGCTTGTGGCGTCCAAAGGATGCCAGCTGTTGGGGCATGACGTTTTTGTGTGCTTGCCGGCTGAAGTGTATTGCACGCGAGGAGCCACTTTGCTGTGCTGATGGCAGTTGTGGTGGTGAGCAGGCATGCTGGTCTCAGTATTGATTTTCCTGATGCAGAAACTGTGTTTGCTTCATTGAGCATCAGCTCCGAGGGCTTTTCACATGTGCTCCCATTGACTCTCACATGCATTGACAGTGACCATTTGGCTCCATTGCTTGCACCTAAAGAACGGGATCTTGTAAATCCCTCGCCCTTAAGGGAAACCTACCGTGAATGTGCTGAAGGCACAATGCTCTTCCGAAAGCTGCAGCCAAGCACCGCTGCACAGGTGTCTCTTCTTCCGACAGCTGAGGGCTTTGTGGTTGTGCGTCAGCTTGTCAGCAAGAAGACCATTGCTGGGACACCTGTAGCAGTGCCGCAAAATCTGAGATGAGATTGATTTGTTTGACTAAGCTGAGAGCCGAATTTCCCCACGGAAGGTTCTTGTCCTGTGGAAGCATCTTGGCCTGAGTAGCCCACAAAAGTCAGAGAAGGGTCCTGACATGACATGGTGATCATGAAATCAGGGGTGCTCTGCTGATCATCGTTGATTCGCGCCGGTGTGCTTTGCATCTTCAAACTTTCGCTTTGCTGGCAGGAAAGCTTGCCAGGCTAAGAGGTGATGAGGTGGTCACAGGCAACGCAGACAGGAGCCAAAACTTCATGTGCTCGCCCAAAGAGACGCCTTTAAAACAAGAAAGGTACAAGCAGAGCGCTTGGGAGGCAAAACGCTTGTGCGAGGAGGCCTGCAGGGTTGTTGCAGCTTTGTTCATGCCAGAGTGGAATTGAACTATTGGTCGTCATGTTGTGGGCAGAGACGCAGAATGATGGTTGTTGGAGGCACGAGTAGCTCTTGTCACAGCAGGCGTGATCCTCCACTGGAAAGACCGTCCAACTCACATTGATTTTTTGACGCTGGCGGATGACAGCCTATCCCTGCAGCAGAAGCATGTTGTGCTCGGATATGCTTGGCGACGCTTGGCAACAAGGCCGCTTACTGTGGTTGGTAGGTGCTGGAAACTTCTTCTCTGGTGCAGGATGGAAAGAGGCTACTGAGCGCCCGCTACAGGCTGGTCACATGCGAACTTTTACAGACTTCGCTAAGCCACTTACAGCATCCCTGCGGTTTGCTGCCAGGGTTTTGGCTTTCCTTGGAGCCAGAGGGCTCCGGCAGCTTGGCGGCGTGTGGCCGTCACACAGCCGCACTTCTGGAAATGGGCGCGCATTTTTCAGCTGCAGTGGCAGCATGTGGCATGTCTCCTTAGATGCTGCCCCCAAAAACGAAGCTTGAGCCTTCCTTGGCCATGGCCCAGATACCTATACATCAAGGGTGCCGGGCCCTTTTCAAGGGTTGATGAGCTTACTGTTGAACTCATTTGACGACGTCGTTGCGCGAACCGCTTGGGATGTCCATGCTCTGAAGGGCATACTTCCAGATTTAAGCCACTTATTGTCATCCCTAAGACCCTAAAGTGTACAAGAAGGATGGCCTTATGTAAACAAACGCATTGACCGCTTGCCCTGCATTTGGCTGCAGGAAAGTGGGTCAATACCTCAGCACACAAGGCCAGTACTGCTCCACGTCGCTCAAAGTGCCTTTGAATTTGTCAGGATCCGGAGTAGTCTGTGATTCAATTAGTTGGGAAAGGCTCTGGCTGCAGCATCAAAGAATCCATGAGATGCTTCGCAACACAGCTTTTGATGATGATCGCTGCTAGGGTCACCTCGGAGTCACACTTGAAGGGTAGGTAGCTGTGGCAAGGGCAAGCTCTGAGACAACTTCATGTGGGGATTTGTCATGGTTGGACCGAATATATGAACTCCATACCCCGATGTGAGCCTGTGGTTTCTTGTTGAGCTTGTCCCTGGTCGGATGGCCGTCGCAGTTCAGACCCCTGAATCCAATCTAATCCAGGAAAGTCAGGTCCTGGCATTTACTTGTTCGAAAGGGGCTCTCTATTTCCGCGAAGGAAGAAATCGAGACTCTGGCGTTTACTTGGTTTCAGAAGTTGTGGCTGCTGGAAAAATCAGAAAGCAAGTCTCTGGCCTACGGCCGTCTTGATTCCTATTGTGCCTTTTTTGACAGGCATGCACAGTCTCACTGCTGTAGCCGCGTCACTGCCTTTTCGACAGCAAGACGGTATGTACAGTAATATGCAGCAAGACGGTATATTCTGACTATCGTTGCTTTGGTTCCTTCCTTGTTGTGAAATCCCTGCCCCTCTGGAGTCCTTTAGTGGCTTGGGTGGCAGATTCCCATGCCACCCTTTCTTAACTTGGTTTCGGGTGCATGTTTGTGCTCCTTCCATGTGCGCAGCAAGGACCCAAGGAAGGACACAAGCATCAGAAAAGATTGCCAAGCCCACCCAGTACAACATACTTTGCCAAAATATGGGAAGCAATAGTTGTTCGAAGAGCGACCTCGCAAGCATGCGTTCGCGCGAGGGCACAAAACTTCCGAAGCAGCAAGAGCTGCTTCTTTCAGCAGGTTAGGTACGGTGCGGGTGTTGTGGTTGTAGACTGGCTGTGAGCACACCATCTGCGAAAATCAACGAGCTCTTGTTCGGAAGGTGACAAATGGCCAGACGAAGTGCTCTCCGAGCTCCATGGCACTGTTTGAGCATAGCATAGCAAGAGCTCAGAGATTGTCAGTGGAGGCTTTACTGCTGTTGCTGCAAGGGGCAGGTCCAGTCTACTGCTCACCCACTTGGGATGTCCCTGGTGTAGTCCCAGCGCAGCTGTTAGGATTTGGTTCAACTACTTGAGCATTCTTTGTGCAGTTGAGGCTTCGGAAGCTCCGAGATGCGATGCCGGCTGCACCTGCGCACATCACCCGACAGACAATCAAGGCAATTAGAACCAAGGGGTCTTCGTGTTGGGAAGAGCTTTAGGAGCTCAGCTGCCTTGCATTTGCAGGAGGATCTAGGCAAGACCGTCGAAGAGCTTTTCCGAAGCTTCGAGGAGGGATGGGAAGCTAGTGCGCTCGTAGTCACGCATGTCACACATCCGCTGGCACATGAGGCCTTGTGTGTTGAAAGGAGCAACCAATCGCTAGCGCATCCATCGGCCAAGTGCACAAGGCAAGGCACATCATCCCGAGCAAATGGGCACATGTAGACATATGTTGATTCAGATGTTCATGAAGCTGTTGTTTTTAGTTACTTGGTTTTAGATCTTGCTGCGTGCTATGTGGCCTGCATGTGTTCAGAGGCTGTTGAGAGCAGAAGCGAGAAGGTACTGTTCAAATGATGCAACAAATCACTAGGCATCGACAGCGCGTTCAGAACTCGCGTCTCATTATCTGGCAACACTTTAGATGCCGCAGGGCTTCTTGCGCGCACACACGCACGCACACACACCCACACACCTGAACGTTCCAGCACAAGTAGATGCTTGGGAAGGTGCTGCACATGTCTGCACCTCCAGAAAGTTGCGTTTTGGCCTTGCGTTTGGTAGCCACCGGCCTGAACAAGCCCATTGACATGTGCGCAGACGCGCTACCCATGTCAAAGATTCTCGGCTGGTTGCTTTGCCACACATGTACAGGCCCTTTCATGGTGCTTCGATTTTATTGTTTGACTGCCTCCCTGAGCTAACCAACGCACCTAGATCCACAAAAATCAACAGCTGGGCTTTCCAAAGCTCCCGGCGGAACCAAGCTGAAACCATAAATTGAAGCATTGGCCTTCTTTGTTGCAGACGATTTTGAATAGTTGGCTGTACATCCTTCAGCAGCATGCAGAGTTGAGTAGATGATCCGATTGGTCTGAGCCATGCCTGCTTGTCCTTCAGGCTGTCTTGCACGATGGCCGGCTGGTAGCTGTGTTTCTTGGCCTTGCATCTTCCAGCTTCACTTCCATGATTAGTTTTGAGAAGAGGCTCGTGGTACACGTCCTTGTCGTTCGTTGTCGCATTGGCATATGGACAGGTAGCTTCCGATCAGCCGTCTCATGTTGAACGCGTGCCCTCAGAAGGGCTAGGAACATGCAGTTTCGCCCGAGTTTGTGTTGTATTAAGCATGTTGAGCTAAGTTCTTGAAGCCAGGAAGGATCTGTCTGCGAAGCCAAGTGATCAGCAGAGTACTTCCCCATCTGAGGAAGGTTCAGCACCGCCATGCAGCAAGGCAAATCCCAATCGATCCTTGCAGCACCCAATTTGTATTTAGTCTAAGCCATAGGGCTTGTTCCAAAGCCAGGGGGCAGTGTGGATGCAACAGTCACCTTGATCATTGGTCATCGCAATCAGCAGCTTGCTGTCAAGCAAGAGCACGTCCAGATGCAAGATCTCCGCGCAATCCATGACTGGCACTGGCATAGCACGGGCTCACAAAACTCAAAGCTTCTTCAGTCTTCTGCCTGAGGATGTGGCCTACATGCGCCTCTTGGCAAATTTGGCCTGGTTGCTGACCATGGGCGATGTGGACTTGATGCCGGTGGCATCTCGGCAAGAAATCTGCAGCGGCAATTTCATAGTCTTTTGTTGTGCGTTTGAGCCCTGGGGCAAGGTCATCATCAGGGCATCTGAGATTTGCCTAGCAGAAAAAGACGGCCTGCCTGAACTGTGTGCTTGAAGGTTGTCGAGTGGCTTGGTGCTGTACTGGAAGAGTTGGATTTCAAGAACGAAGCCAAAAACCAGTGCCTCGGTTCTTGCTTAACATGCGACTGGACCAAATATGACAACAGCAATCGGTCCTGCGTGTCTTGGTTCTTGGCTGAGTCCCAAACTTGCCGCAGGCGATACCGTACAATTCCGTACACGTAGTCCAGCAGTCAGCAGAAGCTACTTTCGGAGCACATGGCTCTATTAAAGCTAGCCACACATCTGCAGACTTCCTGAGAGGCGGGCTTCGCCCAAGCAAGCGCATCAAGCCTGAGTTCCTGATCAGGAGCCGCGG